GTGTCCATCTGTATGCGCGTTTGTCTGTCTGTCTGTCTCTAATCCACAAAACCACGGAGGAAATTAGTTCTTTGAACTGCAGTCAGTCGTGGAGTGTCTGCTTCATCCAAAGGGACATTTAACGGCTACTCAGGTCCCAGGTGTTAACTGCCTTGGTGAAATCCACGGGGAAGGTGGACAAGACAGGTGAATTGAATCCTGGCAAACACAGGGGGCACAACTCGAAAGGCAGATAGCCGTGACTTAAACATCAGTTTAAGTCGCCAGTTCTGTAAGCGGAACAACCGAGGTCACCTCTCAGGGTCACATCTTTCACGAAAAGACACCTCCTTGACCACACGGTCAACAAAGACCACCTATTCTCCGATAATCAGAACATGCATGATGTCGTGATTCCGTCATTACACTTCTGGTTTCAGGGAGATGCAACAAAATCACGGTCCAAATCAATATCACCATTTTCTTAACATACATATGTATTGTTTATCCAGAACTTTCTTCATTCATACTGCCACTAATAACGCACGTCTTATTATTAGAACTACCTTAGTTGCACCTGAAGACATTTGATCGATTTTCTTGTTAACCGTATGTACAGTTAATAGACTGAAATGGGAAAATTCAAATGTCACGTAAAGTTCATTATACAAGAGAACTGTGACGCACTTTGTGGAAATCGATCCGAGCTGGAGTATATGAGTCTATGGGCTTTCGTAATGTCAAGAAATTATGAGGTTTTTATGTGTTGCAAAAACTCATATTGTCATTGTAGATGAAAGGTGCGGTATAAATGTATCTGCGGGTTATGTTCACTGCCACCACTTTCACAGGAAGAGCTGATGACTTTGGTAGTCTGGAAATTTCCGTTGTAAATACTCAGGAGCGACTACTGTGACCTTTGAGAAACATTATATACAGCAGCCAAGAGGGCGCCTTGACTCAAGAGTGAATTCGGATGACGTTAAAGCCCCTTTAAAAAATTATTCAGCGACGTCTGTTTAATGTGGGAAGGCAACCCGAAGTAATGCAGGTCTCACACCACTCGGGATAAATCCGCGAGCAGGGGTTTGTGCCAATATAATTAGAAACAAGATCAGGGGATTCAAACCCGAAATCAGTGGATACTGACTGGCGAAATACAATATAAAGAAACTCGAATTGCTCTGTGTGCCCAGTAGAACCCCAAGTTTTTTCTATACAATTTGGATCCTATTACAAATCGTCACCTACCAAACCGGGTTCGATTCCTACGCAGATTGGGTGTCATAGGTCCAATTTGTTTGGTCCAGCGTCGTGGTATTGCGCGACTATAACTAACACCAAACTCACTTATTCAATAGTACATGACGACAGCGTCCCACGCTCTGTGAGGGAGCACCTGGTGTCACAGATTCGTATGTGACGGTGTCTGATCTACTCTCGGTGTTACAGATGTTTGAATAGGAACCCTTACTCCTACTTAAGTATCGGTGAACTTTCGGATTACTACCAAGGTCTCCGTCCTTGTCTGCTGTCGATCGCCCCTCGCAGTCCCAGTGCAATCTCTCTGCTTGTGAAGACATAATTAGATCCGTATGAAGATAATGACTTATGGTAATCCGTAGGCAACTTCAGTCGACAGAGAACCTATTGCTTTATTGTATCCAGAGCCAAAGTGACGACAGTCGTCGATCTTTATGCAATGGAACCTTGTCACTCCCGGTTGGTTTTCAGCGGCATTCGGAACAAGACGTTTTCGCGTTACCAGTATCCACTAAATTCAACATAATATAAATATCATACGGGCTTCCGAAGCTCTCTGCTTTGGAATGCAAGGTTTCCGGAATGACAAGGCACTATATCAGGCCCTGTAAGTAGACCGCGCAGCCATGACGACCGGATCACAAGTGATGTTCCTATGTGCGTCGTAATGCATGTCAGTCCAACAAATTAAGGTGAGAGTCGTGCGTGAGTCACAGCTCTGGTTTGTACATAGAGCGATGCTGCTGCATACAGATGCTCCTCATCTACGTGTCTAGGTTAGTGCCAATTTGGAATCGTGTAAATCGAACGATTTACCTGTCTGCCTTCTCTGATTTATCATCTGGACAACGCTGCAATAAATGATAGTCATATTACACAGACGAAGTCTCCAGTCACTCGACATTAATTGCAGGGTCTAGACCTAGACTGTGGCATCATACCATCAACGTTTCCTCATTGACGGTTACACCCGCCGTATCCTACATAGTATAGTCCCTGGGTCTTATCCCCAATAGTCTGTCTCACAGTCCCAGAGCCACATTATTGTCCCTACAGGTTTGCCCTCACTGCGATGCTAAAGCCCTAAATGAAGCAAGCCCAGATTCTCCCAACTCACTAGAGCTCCTTTTCAATTTAAATGTGTTTATTTGTTACTATTATAATTATATATATTCAAGGACTAAGAGTTGGCCTAATTCCCCAGCTGAAGTATGGGGCCCAATGATTTGGAGCTTTCTCACCACAAATGTGACTGAGTTCGATCCTCTACGTTGACACTGTCGCGGCATACATGTGTACAAAACTGGTTTATATTGATATTTCAGAAATATTTGTACGGAAGCCACTGAGCGACACCTACTGGCTGGGAAACAAACAAAAACACGTTACCTATGTTAGTAACGCTGGAATTTCTGCACACCTTACGTCATGACTGTCAGTTAAGGCTTGTGTTGATGATTCCACTGACGTAACCATAAAAGGTTACAAACAGTTTCTCAATATAGCTCCATATACCTTTAACAGTAATCCGGCTAATCCGTCTTGTGCTAATCTGGTCTGGTGCGAAGTGCTGAAATTAGGATATTCGTCCCTTTGGATTACCAAATAATGAGACATTCGTCTAATATTATTTCGTTATAACTAATAATGGAGGTAAGGTGAAATGAGGTTTAACATAGAGTTCATAATTAGTGCACGTAGCGACATGATATGAATACGCTACAAGAGAGAAATAAACGTTATTTACAGTCCGTTTGAGACAAAATGATACCGATGAATTGCAATCTAACACAAAAACAAATCGACATAAAAGAATCAAACCAACGCGAAATGCAATAAAAACAACAGACCAACTCTAGAAAAAAAATTGCATAATTTTTGTCACAAAAATAAAAAAGTTGTTTAAGAAACTGTCATCATTTATTTGTGCGATTTCCAGGTTTGTTGCAAGGTCGCATTGGCAACTAAAGGAACAGCGCGAAAAGCGAGATACACGTGCGTTAACGGGTTCTCAACAAACTTTTGAGCTGGCGAGATGACACGTACCCCAACTGCACAGGCAATTACTTAGTAATTGCATATTTGGGCGAGCCCCTGTCATTTTCATCCTTGACGAAATCATAGACTTTGTAAATTATAGACATTCATTTTCTCTCACTTTGTCAATCAACAGTAATCACATGTCTCTGACGTCACTAATGCACGTGCATCTCGCTTTTCGCGCTGTTCCTTTAGTTGCCAATGCGACCTTGTAACAAACTTGGAAAACGGACAAATAAATGATGACAGTTTCTTAAACAACTTTTAAATTTTTGGGTGACACAAATTATGCAATTTTTTCCTAGAGTTGGTCTGTTGTTTTTATTGCAGTCCGCGTTGGTTTGATTCTTTTATGTCTATTTGTTTTTTGTTAGATTGCAATTCATCGGTATCATTTTGTCTCAAACGGACTGTAACAGTTGACATAGGCAGTATTTTCCTATGTCAAACATCACTGACCCCTCAACGCACATGCATCATATGGAGACATTGGAAGTGTGTGGTGGTGTGGAATGGGTAGAAAACATTGTCAATTGATGAAAGACACGAGCATGAGCATCAAAGACAATAATCTGGTGTCCCCACGATCAGCGATTCCAAGGGGGACAACTCCAAGGCGAATTCCATCGCCGAGAAATGGCACCAGGCAACGTCACTGTCAACACACCGGCACAGCGCTGCGAAATGTAGGCATACACATTCACAGTGTTATGGTATATATTGACCACTCAGTGTATATTTCAACTGTTTCGAGCGGTTATCAGTAGTTTGGTTAACCCAGAAATAGGACACCTCTTGAGATTTCACGTAAGAGGGGATTCCCCTGGGAGTTGCATAGTCAACATCACATCGATATGTTCTGACACTGTATTGATGGATCTGTCATGAATGATCAATCAGCTGACGTGCTGTCACAAACTTCGTGCAAAAGCAAGCAGGGTGGTCATAGGCCGTGCTCTACTGCAATCGGCAATATTGTTTTTTTCGTTTGTGATCCATAAACACGTTTCAAATTACGCAAATACTTTACAGCAGATTTGTGTCCACATCTTATTGAACACATCCCTCCGCATCTCGACACCAATATGTCAGTTTTCAGGCATAACATTTTCGGTGCCAGTACGTGACAATCAAGGGATTTAATTCATTCCATTTGTCTGCCAACACATCTTGTTTCGTGTAGATCAATCTCGCACTTAATGATGACCTTAAATAAGACAAGACAGCGACTCGATTTCACAGCACGAATTACAGTGTCTGGGTATCGGCTGGAAATTGGCACCAAATCCCAAAATGCGTGTATCATTCAAGTTCGTGTATGTGTGTTTCCGCTGTGATGTACATAGCTGATACAGTAGACACTTGTAGACGATGGCATGGAATGTGAAAATCTATCAGTCTTAGTTTCAACACGTTAAGTTGCTTAGATGAATATTGACTCTTTATGAATAAATTCATCCCACAAACTTATACCATGATCTTTTTTCACATGTTTATAATAAACCGCCGGACAAAAGAATGAATACAGCCTTAGTTGATGGAAGGTGAAAATGAGATCAACAAATGTATATTTCGTTTATGTTTAAGACCCCAAGTTTTTTTTACGACTTTTCAGCCCAGTGACTTCTAATTTTCTAGTGTATACTTTGTTTTGCCCGGCGTTTTATCTACACACAGTTCTTATGTAAAATGTTAAATAAACGACACAATAATGAAGATTATGATTTTGAAGAGAGATTTTATATACACTATCACATTACACCAGCTTACACCAATGTGTGTTTTGTGCAGATGGAAAAAAGTGCTGATGTTTTTGTTACATTGACTGATGAGATTGTCATCTTGAAAAGCAATTGACATGTGTCATGCACGTGCATCACGAGCACATGGTCCATAGCTACACACACAAGGCATGAACTTGTTAGTGCAGATGTCAAGTCAGAAAATGGTCCACAGATTGAGGATGTCGATGGGTGGGTATATTTCTACTATTGTCTATTTCAAACATTTGTGTTAAGTACACCAAACGAAACTGTACATAACTGGTCACAGCGGAGCGTATGGCACGAATTACATACACAAATATATTTTCTAGAATCGAAATTTCCAGTTTGTTATAAAATCTCCAAGCACATGGATCTGATATGTACAATATATCCCGTGAAAACGACAAAAGTTATTAAAGTTTGGTCTTTGGTCAATCATCAATACTTCCACAGAAAATTCTGATTTATTATGCACATTGCTCTGTATCCACTAAAAACCTCTGTATCTTAATATTTGAAGATACTTTACACTTTTGACGGACGCACTTTCGGAAAAAGTTTCCAGTCTCACAAAATATACAATCCATTTCGAACAAGAGAATCTGTAAATAGGTATCACAAATATCCATTCGAAAATACAAATTCCATTTTTTTTGGAGATTCTGTCCCACAGGTTAAGACCCTCACAGAACACAGCGATGGTACATCCACGTGCGGGTCGATTGCACACGGGCAGACGGGGATGACTCAAAACTGTGAAATGTAGAATATACTGACTCACTGCTATGAGGTGATGGAGAAATATGCACAATTAGTTCGTATCCACCGAATTTCTGAAGAATCCCTTTTCAGTGTTACTTTCCACAAACGTTACTTTTATGAAATTACAGGTGACATCAGTAACAAGCACTTTTAGCGGGGGCTCTCCATTAGGGGGATAATACATCTTGGACCGACTTTTCACTGCCGCGGAATCAGAGTCCCTTTCACAAAAGCCTTGGGAGTATCGATCGTTACTCTCCTGTTTAGCTGGATACTCGGTTTTCATTGGCTCGATAACGTTGTTGAGATGGTCCCTGCATTCGCCAAGTCGGATCAATGCCTCGCACGCAGTTAGCTCCCCTTCTTTGCACGCGGCTCCACGTGTGAGGGGTAACAGATTCAGGTCCGTGTTTACCTTCTTATCGAAGGGCATGCTCCAGAACGCTCGGTCGCTACACGGCGAGGATCGACCTCTTACCTCCTCGCTTTCCGCAACGGAGTAGAGGTCGCGGTCGGTACATCCTGATACATGTTTACTCGACTCCATATCATTCTCTGGGTCATAATCACTGTCCTTGTCCGACTCTTTCTCAGTGCTTGAGTCTTCCGACATGGGACTTTCAATGTCATCATTGCCTCCAAAGAATGGCCTCCAAAAGTTGTTGTTCATAGAATCTTGTTGTTCTGGATTTGGATGAGTGTTGTTATCGCCGTACAGCGATTGTGTCTCATCCTGTTCGTCGAGGTCACTGTCGTCTGCTACCGTGTCGCTTGTCTGGGGACTTCCGGCAGACATCTATGTAGAGCAAGAGAAATAGTCTATCAGTGTGGGGTAGAGCAGACGTGAAACAATGTCTCAGTTTACAGGGCGTCAAGCCGGATATATGATTGACAAACGGCTGTCCCGTCTATGACATTACAGCTTATAGGCATTTTTTGCCGCTCACTCAAATCTGTCGTTTTCACTCCTCAGGCGAATCTCTACAGGGTATGTCTCGTTTATCGAATGGCTTGAGCATTAAAAGGTACGAGGGAGATTAAATCAGTATTTTATATTTTTATACTGATTACCTGCTTGAACTGCCCCAAAGTAGTGTTTATTTATTGTCTATCAAATGAAATAGTATATTTGTTTATGCATTTATGAAACAGCTGTTTTAACTGTTATTTTAAATTGGGTAGTGCTGCACTTGAAACACTGATCCAATGAAACTTACTTCAGCGTTCGTGTGAAAATGTCAGCCTGACCTAAACGCGACTGTACTCTCTTACCCACCCACACAAATCTCTCGATCACTCTCCCCGCTCGTGCTCCCATAACCCCTCCCCCACCCCATACCTCCCCAGTGTGTGTCGTGGGCTCGGGGCCCAACAGCAGAAACCCATCTCCAAATACACATTGCGATACGTAAATCCGAAAATAAACGCGCGACTGGCCAAGGCCTAATGATATCACCCCCATGAATCGCCTGGCTTTGTCAGAGCTAAAAATAACCCGTCGATAAACACGCGTCCCATACCACGCTATTTTGGTCATGCATTCAACTGAGCATTCTCATCAAATGGAAACTCATGTTGACAGACTGGATCGGTCCATATTCCATTAACGTGACAAATGGCCATTAAGAATCTAATTAAATGATAAGGTTATCTGAATTTATGTTTATTGCAATAGTTACTAAAATCGTTAAACTTATCCTAATATTTTCATTTCATTTTTAAAATGTATGAATTGAAAAAAAAAAATCCAATTATTAAATATAAATTCATTTCAATAAATTCAAAATATTCTCACATGCTCATCAATTGTCATTTAGCTAATATATCAATGAAACTACATAAAACATATAAATTATATTTCCATTATATGTACGTTTCAGTTCAAGTTAACGTCAGTTATAACGTTACTTAATATTCAGCTCGGGTTTTACAACCAAGTACGTGATAAAAATATGCAAACCTACATATAAACAAAGTTCACACTATTTTGTTTGAAAAACTAACCTGGCTTTGTCGCCTCTTCTGCTGCAGCTTCTGTCGTTTTCTCCCATACCAGTGTTGACGCCTAAAAAACGAGAAACAAACATCCGTCAACAATTTAAATTTGAAAACAAACGTTGTATACTTCCGGTTTGTTTCCCGACAGCACTAACTCGAGTTCAGCACCGACCGTGCCCGCGAATGTTAGTTTCCAAGCACCCTGAGTATTTAATCAATACAAACAAAGTTACCGAGGGTGGAGCACCCGACAAACAAAAACAAACCACGCCACGTGCAGACGACGCGAGGTTTAAATAACTTATCTAAACTCGACACTTACTTGTCTTCGAACTCCGCAATCAACAACGGGTCGAGTATGTTGTCTTTAGGCTCCCAGGTGCTGTGCCTGTGAAATAGACATGAAATTAACAATGTAAACAACTATTAGAAAAGGAGACATTTCTGGAAGATTCTACGCTCCGTTCAGGAATTGCTTATCGATTTTCCCAACTCTGGAATACGCATGTGTAAGGATTAAAGTGCGCAGTATCATAACATTAATGAAACTAGCGAGCGAAATCAACATGAAATAGACACTTACTTCAACGTGTAGCCTTTCCATTTGACAAGATATTCAACGCGACCCTGAAATAAACAAGAAAAAACAACTGTCATGTGTTGTTCATTGCCCTTGAGGCTAAGCAACGCTCGATCAACTCATGGCAAACATATGTCAACACAGCGTAGCAGCCAAATCACTGATATCGGCATCAGTTTAAATATCCGTATCGCGATGACAGCTTGTGAAATGTGCGTGACATGCAATAAAAACCTAATCACAACATAAGTAACATAGATTTACCTTTCGGTAACGTTTCTTTTGTATGTTATCCGCTTGAAATATCCGATCGCCCAGAACCGGTAGCTCCATTGCTCAACGATTGATACTGACTGAAGGTTGTATTGCCTCGGCGCGAGCTTGTTAGCAGCCGATGGATTTGTGCGCATGCGCGGTAATCTGACCTGTGACGTCAGCAAGCGCGCCCAGCGTGGTTGTACACTAAGTAACAAACAAATCAGTCGAGATTGGCCTCGTCAATGACTCAGTGTCACAGCATTTCATGCGTGTCTCTGACAACAACCCAAATATGAATCGGCATTACAGCTGATGCGTGTCTGTTTCGTTACCACGTCATTACGGGACAAGTGTTTACATCAACACTTTTCGAACGTACTAGAAACATTCGGTACGGCGTGGAATATTCTATAAATAGCCTCGGCCTGTGACTAATAAATATCTATAACTGCAAAGAGTGAGATCTGTTTACAATGCCGCGCTGACAAGGGAGCGATATACAGTTTGCATTACTCATGTCTAATTGTGAAATCAACATGAAACAGCTTATGTAGATTGCAAGTTTCGACGTGAGATTACCTAGTACAATCAGAATGACGAAATTCTTCTAAATATCCGCAATGTTTCTATGTGTGGTGCAATAGTGTTTTACTCGACTAAATCCTATCTGTTCACCGCACCTATTCGAAATCTTAGTTTCAAAGCATGCGTACATGTCTGTGTGTGAATAACACTTAAACACACAAGATATTAATTATTCCCGCCATGTGATAAACCGTACCTTTAAATATACACGTAGACTATAAAAATAACGGCCTTGAGATGCCATGGCACTCTTGACACATGTATACTTAGCTAGGTTACATACCAACGACCCCGAATAAACGCCTTTTTATATCGGACCCGTGAAGATCCGGGGTAGAATACGTCTTCAGCAACCCATGCTTGCTACAAAAGGCGATTATGCTTGTCGTAAGAGGCGACTAACGGGATCGGGTGGTCAGGCTCGCTGACTTGGTTGACACATGTCATCGGTTCCCAATTGCGCAGATCGATGCTCATCCTGTTTATCACTGGATTGTTTGGTCCAGGCTCGATTATTTACAGACCGCCGCCATATAGCTGGAATATTGCTGAGTGCGGCGTAAAACTAAACTCACTCATTCACCCTTTTTATATCTAAATATGTCGCGACCAAATCAGTTTTTAGCTTTATGTAATGTTTTTTGCTTTTTACGACCATTCAAAACCAAGAAATATAATGCTTAGGCCCTGGGAACATTGAATACAAATCCGAAATCGAACCATTCAGGGAGAATCAGAAATAAATAATGCTCTTCGTAGTATTTGGTTTCATATATAAGACTGGGCATTGCATGTTTATTCGTTGTTGTATAGCTACTACTGTAACAACTGGAAGCCCAGGAAGCCTATTACCATATTCATCACCGGTAAAAAACGTACTGCGAAAAACAGGTCGAACAGTGTCAATTTCAAACCCACGCGAAGCCGAAAGGGTGTATTACAAGCGTTCATTTCTTTCTGTTTCATAATCGTAGATGACATTTCTGAAGAAACAGTATCGATTTTGATCATTATCTTCTAATATAGACTCATTCTGTTGTAGATATACAGTAAAACATGATATTATGTATATCTTCACATTACGACCAGATCTGATTCTTCGCCAGCGTTTTCTTTCAAATGTACCAGATCAAGAGGCATGGCGGTGATATGCATTTCACTCCTGGGAAGATAGCCAATTTCTTGTTTTATGGCTACATGTACCCTCCAGCGTATTGTATATTTCAATATATACAGGGTTCGTGTTTTGCTTCAATGCGCGGTCAGTGGTAGCGATGCTATTTACAAGTTGTCAGTTTCATGTCAGTATATGTCACCTTGTATGTAACATATCTGAAATAGACATGAATACATTTGCGTACGAACAAGCAGGTTGTGGGGAATGTGGAGGCCGAATTCTTTCCCTCTTACAGCTTCCGTAACAGTCATTGTTGTTTTGGAAGAGGTCACAAAGACTCTGAGGTTGAACACAGAAGATGTACCTCCATCGTGTGTGCATTGTAAAAAGTTATTAATGTTTCAACTTCGTGTTACAGAGTTTAACACTAATAACACACAAATAAACAGCCGGAGAAAAACACATTGGCTTGTAAATTGGATTTGACAAAAAACATACAAACGCTATCAAAACGTTACGAGGCTTGAAACAGTCACATAAACACTGAAAAACTAGTTCCAAAACAGAACTCTAATATCCACCTTGAATTGTATCACCACCGAATAAATATTTCTTTCTTGATACTTACCTTAGCCATCATAAAATATGGTTGTATACAGTTGTATATGAAGTTCATAATGGTGTGTACTATCTCCATACAAAACATATTCAACAGCCAGCTGTGTTAGTCACATGGCACAGCGCGAGACACGTCTTGTATACGTCTGTACATAATCATAATCATACTCAGCATACAAATGGTTGAATTTGTGCTCTTTAGGGTAATCTGTTTCTTCGTAATAACTACCCAAAACATTCCGTTTCAGCAACCAACGATCATATGCTAATATCAATATACTTCCTGATCCCCTGTTAATGAGTGAGTGAGTTTAGTTTTACGCCGCACTCAGCAATATCCCAGCTATATGGCGGCGGTCTGTAAATAATCGAGTCTGGACCAGACAATCCAGTGATCAACAGCATGAGCATTGATCCCCTGTTATGTAAGTGAGGTAGAATTAACCCCGCTGCTGTATGTTTGTTTGTTGTTTAACGCTGCACTCAGCAATCGTCCATCTATATGATGGCGGTCTGTAAACAGTCGAACCTGGACCAGATAGTCCAAGCATTGATAGCATGAGCATCAGCCTGCCCATTTGAGACACACTGACATGTATCAACCTGTCCCTGGGTGATAGCGTCGGCTTGGGGTTGCTGGGATGAGTAGCGTTTACCGTTCTTCAGTATTACGGGTATAGCGTGGCTTGTCCTGGCCCCTCGTGCTGGGGTTATCGCACAGTGCGGACAGCCAGATAAATTCATCTGTGATATATGTATATGTGTACATGTATGTTTTTAATGCCAAATATTATATAATTATGTACATTAAGGTATAGTTGGTGTCTCATAGGCCACATGGCCGGACATTGTTTAAAATATGTACTTATATAAAATATGGTTGTGTCACCAATGTGTGACACCATTATAATAAACTAATTTTCTTCTTCTTCTGAACCAAGTCATCGAGAGTAACCATCAGATTCCGTAAGTTGCCAAACGACAAACATGGGCTGATGAAGACCAATTCAAGGTCACTTTGAAATTAATTCAGATGTTTCACGTGGTGTCAGCTTAATGATATGCGCGGAATCTATGAGTGAATTAGTGAGTATAGTTTTACGCCGCTTTTAGCAATATTACATGTGTGGACTCGAACCAGGTGTTCGGCGTGACGAGCGAGCGCTTTAACCACTGGGCTACCCCACCGCCCCTCAATTGATGACCAATTTGGTGTACAGGTATAATGGCGACAAGAATGATGAGCAGGTTGACTTGTCACCGAGTGCTAAATATGTCGGTTGTTTGAGATATAAGAGTTTCCAGAATAACGTGATCTATTGCAGATACGAATTTCCTTATTGCATTCACCCGGATGTTGAGAAGTCACGACTCACGAGGACAAGATGAATGAAGAACATCGCGTATGCATATAAACTACTTAGCGGACAGTTATTGTTCAGAACAACGCCCGCCAGTATCTCTGACGTGCTTTCCTGCCCGTACTATATTTTTACCATCCGTTCTACATTTATACCATCCGTACTGTATTTATACCATCCGTACTATAGTTATACCATCCGTACTATGGTTATATCATCCGTACTGTATTTATACCATCCAAACTATATGTATACCATCCGCACTGTATTTATACTATCCAAACTGTATTTATACCATCCAAACTATATGTATACCATCCGCACTGTATTTATACTATCCAAACTGTATTTATACCATCCGTACTATAGTTATACCATCCGTTCTACATTTATACCATCCGTACTGTATTCATACCATTCCTACTACATTTTTACACCATCCGTACTATGTATAGAATCGTGACTTTTGTTTCACGATGCATCATAAGAACTTAATTTTCCTAAACCTTCAGGGGCCGTGGGGTAGCCCAGTGATTCAAGTGTTCGATTATCTATATGGGTATAATGTGTGATCTATATGGGTATAATGTTTGAAGCCCACTTCTGGTGACCCCGCAGTGAAACTGCTGGAATATTGCTAAAGCGACGTAAAACTCCACCCACTCACTCACTCTCAAACTATTATATTTGTATCTATACGGATGAACCAATCATTACATTCTTAAGGGTACGTTGGCGTTTTGGTGTTCTGTGACACAATCACAATATCTTTATTAACATAGACTTGCAATGTTTTTAATAGCGCAAACCGATTTGTATCCTATTTCTTGTTCAAGAACGCACTCAGTAACTCGTCAGCTTTATGACGATGATCTGGAAACAGTCTGAACCACATAATCCACTGATTGACTGTCTGAACATCGGCCTAGGCAACTGGAATACAATGTGTCAGCCAAGTCAGTGAGCCTGGCCACCCGATCATGGGTTGCTGAAGAACACAACTAAGCCGGATCGTCTTAGGGGTGGGTTTTGTTCGAGTGCAACCAACACATTTTGTTCTGAAATCATCCTCTCAGTCCAGCGAATGCTATTCGTCTGTTACAAAAAGCCCAACTTATCCCTTTCAAGCATTTTCTGAAAAACGTTATCATTTTAACACCACACCGAGACCCGTCATCCAAAAAACCCTGATTGTTATTCTATTACAGAAAAATATTTAAAACGTATTTCACTGTTGTCATAGCTATATTCGTGAGTATTATAATTCAGGGTTATAGAAGGCACACACAATCATTGCAGATAACTATTAACTTCCCAAGCGTTTCATTTTGACCCGTGACAGAAACACCTGGATTGACCAGTGCTATATCTGCAAGCCAAACTTCGGATTCAAAGCGTGTCCGTTAACATCCTGAGAGATCAGCAGAAACAGAAACCATCTTATCACAGAACACACCCTTATGCTTTATCTACTTCCTGGTTGTA